TTGGCCTAGGGGGGGATTTTATAGGGATTTTAAAGGGATTTTATAATTTTTCTAATACAGGTTATTTAATATATATTTTAATTTGGCTTTTAGATATTTATTGTATAGCTCTGTTTTTACTTACCTGTAAGCCGCCCTGAGTCCCTCGGGAGAAGGGCGGGGTATAAATTAAAGTAATAAATAAATAAATAAATAAATATATACTGCTATTGTGCAGTATGTTTTTAGCTAATTATGATGGGGGAAAAAACCTCAGCACTAAAAGTCAAAGATATTTCTACAGATTTTTGTTGTCCTCCAACAAGGACAATGGACAAAATACCCTATATTGTCTCTGTACATTAGATAACTTTGTATATTAGCATGTGTGGGTTTTGAATAAACCAAAACAACAAATTTACTCTCATTCACACACACACACCCCACGAATAATAAAAATGTGCTAGCAGGTCTGCTTTCTCTCTCCCTTTGCCCAAGTCAATCTATTATTTGTCTATTATGAATAAAACTTATATCTTTTTGAACTTAGACAGCCAGTTGATTGAAAGTGTGTCTTGGCAGCTCTCCTGCATGAAGGTGGATATGACATTACCAAGATTCTACAGGGAAAAGTTGGAGATTTATGTGAAAATATCCCAGGAGAACTTGCATAAATTGTCCATGGAATAATGATAAGAACTAAGTGAAATATTGGGGGAAATTGAATTTCTATTGTTGAGATATAAAGCACCACTAGACAAGAAAGAGAGAGATGTGATTCTCCCTTAATTATAATGAGATATTCAAGAGAAATATGCAGTCCTGATAAGTGTGATGAGATGAGTCCCCCACCACAACAGTGCATCAATGAAGTTATGAGCAATTTTAATATCTGCTCAATGACCAGGTAGCAGCTATGGCTACGAAGGCCTCTGTATAGCTTCATCTGCTGCACCAATTGTGTGCCCTCTTCAAAATTGGGAGGTCCTTCAAACAGTCATTTATACCCTGATCACTTCACAGCTTGACTACTACAACATGCCCTTGAAGACTACCCAGAAACTTCAAACTGATCCAGAACACAGCGGTTTGGGCAATGATGGGCATGCCTTGGCGTGCCTATGTAACAGCTCTGCTTCATGAGCCATACTGATTGCCAGTTTGTTTCTGTGATTCTGCTTATTATTTATGAAGCTCTGTATCGCACAGACCTAGTTACTGAAGGACACACTCCCCTATAATCTCTTCCCATCTGATTTGATCTGACAGGGTTAATACTCTCTGGATTCTTGAACAATACCATGTATTGGAACAATGATTTATTTTCTACTTTCTTTTTATCTTTTCTTAGGAATAGCTTCATAAGTATAACACAGCTCTCTTCATGTTCAAAATAAGAAAGTTCTTCAAATCATTCTTCTATAGTTGAACTCTATACATCCAACTCACTCTTCTGATTTACTATTTGTGTGTCCATTTTAGAAATTAAAATATCAGCTGGTTTCACTTTTAAGTCCTGTATAACTTCTTTGTCAATATCACTCTTCTATTCTGTCAATTTTAAATCCATATCTAAAACAGCCTGATTCTTATACAGGTAGTCCTTGACATGATTATTTGTTAACAACAGTTCAAAGTCACTGTAGTGTTAAAAAAAGTGTCTTACAATGAGTCCTTACATTTACAAACATCACAGTGTTCCTGTGATCACGCGTTTAAAATTCAGGTGCTTGGCAAATGGCATATATTTATAAGGGTTGCAACATCCTGAGGTCATGTGATCATTGTTTGCTATCCCAGGGTACTTCTGACAAGCAAAATCAATGGAGGAAGTGGATTTACTAAAAGTCTGTGGCAAAAATGTTCTAAAATCAGGCGTAACTCATTTAATGACCACTTTGCTTAGTGGTGGTAGTTCTGGTCCTAATTGTGGCTGTAAGTTGAAGACTAGTTGTAGTAACTGATAATCTTAAGAGAAAGTTCTGAGAACATGGCTGTCAAATATCCTTGAATTCTTCCAGAGTTAAAATCCTTTTCTCATTTTTCAACTCTTCATCTCCTCTCTAACACTCCTTTGCAAGTTTAGTACTTTCCTTCAACTTTAATACCATAGCCCAGGGGTAGTCAACCTTGGCTCTTTTATGACTCGTGGACTTCAACTCCCAGAATTCCTGAGCCAGCTAAGCTGGCTCAGGAATTCTGGGAATTGAAGTCCACGAGTCATAAAAGAGCCAAGGTTGACTACCCCTGCCATAGCCTATCACTTTCTCTAAAACCACAATAAAAGTTAAATATGTATTTGAAATAAATAAATAAACAAACGTGTAGTGATTTGTTTTCACATTTGTGCAAATATGATATAAATTCTCATGGAATAATTTAAAACACAATTTGTAATCAAATAGTAAATGTTTAAGGAATCTTATCAGCAGTCTTCAACCATTAAGCTTACTTTATTTCCATCTGCTCTTTTTTTTTTTTCCTAAGAAAAGCTTGAGGCTATCTCATTTTTTTGGGGGGCAGAGATTTTTATCTCCAGTGGGAAGAGGAAGAACCGTGGAAGGGAAGTTGCCTAGCACAATTTTTAGCTTGGAATGCTAAGTCAGACAAAACATGTTGATCTCCTGCTGTCAGTGTAATATAAACAAATTCTTTTTTTAAGAAAGTGANTTTTTTTTTTTCCTAAGAAAAGCTTGAGGCTATCTCATTTTTTTGGGGGGCAGAGATTTTTATCTCCAGTGGGAAGAGGAAGAACCGTGGAAGGGAAGTTGCCTAGCACAATTTTTAGCTTGGAATGCTAAGTCAGACAAAACATGTTGATCTCCTGCTGTCAGTGTAATATAAACAAATTCTTTTTTTAAGAAAGTGAACCCCTATACTAATTTCTGTTGATTAACCTAGTTTGACCATGTGGATCTCCATGGAGCACCTTCTATGAACTTAATAACTTGAACTTTCCCATGTGATTTCCTTGTTTTATTTTTATAAATGAGTTGAAAAGTTGCCAGGATTGTTCTTTCCACCACCACCTGGATGACCTATAACCTATGACATCACTTTCCCATACAGCAAGAGGAAAAATACTAATTTTAAAAATGGATTTTAATGACACCTACTACAAAATGATCAAACAGAGCTTCCAAGGGACTTGTGCTAAAATATGAAATTTTTATATTTTCATAACATAAAAATGAAGTAAAAATCATTAACTTAAAGCAAAGACAAATGGAAGATAAAGGGAGGGGAAAGGGGAACTTGAACTAATTAGCACTGTGAACATGCTGCTGAAAAAGAAAGATGGGTATAATAAATAAATCTGCTATAATAATGTGTTAAAGAGTTCTGGGAGGCATAGTATTCTTTTCCATTCTTTAAGTTATCTTAATCAGTTACCTTTCAACAGATACTACTTATTATTTACTGTTACCTGGGGACTCATATCCTTTTTTTAAGCAAAGTGTCATGATATTTCCTCATTCTTATTTCCATATAAGAAGTAAGAAAATAAAGTTGAAACAAAAAGGAATTATGTTGGTAGACAAATCTTTTGATCTTTTAAAATCTTTTAGAGCCAGTTTGGTCTAGTGGTTAAGGCACCAGGCTAGAAAGTGGGAGATTCTAAGTTCAAGTCCCACCTTAACCGTAAAAGCCTGTTGGGTGATTTAAGGCCAGTTACTCTTCCCTCAGCCCAACTCACCTCATAGTATTGTGGGGGAAATAGGAAGATGTGGTGGATATGTTCATTGCCTTGAGTTATTTGTAAAAATAATAAAGGCAGAAAATAAATAAATAAAATCTTTTAATCTCTAAGAAATTTGTCAATAACAAGTAAAGCTTAACAAATAATAGGTGAGGACAGAACCAAAAAGTCTTTTGCTAATACAATTTTTGCTCCTTTTCTAATACTTTCCCTTCCCTTCCCTTTGCCTCTCCCTTCCCTTCTCTTGAACAGCCATCACAACAGATTAAGGCACATACTTCTTGTAAAAATTCTCCTGTGGCCCTAGGTCTATTAGTCAGACAGTGGAATGATAAAGCATTACAGCTAATTAAAAGTTCCATTTCTAATCAGCTTACAGTATGTCCAGCTTATATATAAATAAAAAATAGCAGTAGCTTCTCCACTTTTATTTATATGTTATTTACCTTTACATGTCTTCTTCCATTGAAAAAGAAAAATGGATAAATAAAGTCTAATAATCATTAATCCAATGATGTACAGTATCCTTGATTTTAGAGTTGAGATTAGTGTGTCTTATAGAAAATAAAGAAGCCAATTAATCATTTTGTGCACTTACTGGTTTTCTCATAAACATATCACTACTTCCATCCTTAGATTAACTTACAGGAAGCTGGCAGCATAGGAATCTGAGAGATTAGTGATGCCTCCTTCAGAAGCAGCCCCGATACCCTCTAACCAAATCCTTTTTCCAGGCATGTGTGCATTGACCACCTGTTGCCAAAAAAAGAAGGGGAAAGCAAAGGTGGTGGTAAGAACATAAGAATAGCCCTGCTATTCAACAATTATCTATAGCTGGTAACTTTAAAACATGTATTATCAGAGGCTAGCATAAATAATACTGATTTTTCAGTGACTAGCAGGGCTGAAATAATGAGGAAAACAAAAGTAAGAAGTGGATGAAAAATATGTTAATCTGAACAGAACTTTCTTCTGCTTCTTTTATGGGCATTGATCTTGCTTTTCTGGAACATATCACTCTTTGCTGACTTCCTATTTGTTTGTGTGGGTTCTCTTAGTTTTGTTGTAAATGCACTATCCCTGAGTGATTCCTTTCAGTTTGTTTGTGGTGTCTCACATGAAGTAGCAGACAGCAGGCTAATCAATAAAATACTTCACTCTTGCAAAATGAAATTGTCCGTGCCTTCAAAGCCTCATTTCTTTATGAAAACAAAAATTACTCACACAACGTAAGATATTTCCATTATCCAGATCAGACCCTTATGTAAGGAAAGAAATTTTTTTTGACTTATAATTTTGCTTTCCAAGACATATATCACAGTAGGCTGCTATACCATATGGCAACACCATTAAGCTTTTCTTATTCCCACTTATTTTGTATAATACCTCATTCTTAGTTTTTAAAATGAGTACAAATTGACATTCTCAGGTTTTAAAAAGTTAATATTTTTAAAATTTCCACAATGGTAATTCCTCCCCCCCCCCACACACATATATACACTTTGTAGTTTGACTATGGCTTTGACTAATTTTGAATAGTTTTATATACAGGTAGTCCTCAACTTACAACTACAATTAAGCCCAAAATTTATGTTAAGCGAGACATTTGTTAAGTGAATTTTGCCCCATTTTACGACCATTCTTGCCACAGTATAGTTAAGTGAATCACTACAGTTGCTAAGTTAGTAACACAGTTGTTAAGTGAATCTACCTTTCTCATTGACTTTGCTTATCAGAAGGTCACAAAAGGTGATCACATGACCCCAGGACACTGCAACCGTCATAAATATGAGTCAGTTACCAAGCGTTTGAATTTTGATCATGTGATCATGTTGCAATGGTCATAAGTGTGTAAAATGGTCATACAACACTTTTTTCAGTGGCACTGTAGCTTTGAACAGTCACTAAATGAAAGTCGAGGACTACTTGTAATTTATTATGTACATTTATAAATACGTATGTTGTTTTAGTAAAGACGTCTTTTCATATATGATACAACTTATGCACTGGGAGCAAAATCAGGTCCTTACTGTGTATATATGTAAGGGTATATAGCCTAATGAGAAACAAGATGCTTGTTAGATTAATATGTAGACTGGATGCCTGATTAATTATGTTCAAACATCTAATCTACATTAATATATAAGCCTAGTTTCTTTATAAATTAGAGCAGACATTAGAAGCAACTACAAAGCTATTTCTTAATTTAACTATATTGCTGCCTTCAATTAGAGTAATCAATGTTTTGGGGCATATGTTACCAAGCCACCAAGCCCCAGAACCTTGTCAGAAACTCATACTGGCCTTAACTCTTTCCTATGAAACTTCAGTGGTGAAAGAGAAGTATGTACATGGCACTAGAGATCCCCTTGTGAGAATGCCCGTTTAACATGAGACAAACCTTACAACAGAGACCTGTCAAGAACATGATGGTGCCAAGAAACAAATGCATGTAAGTGAACACAAGGCCCGATGATGTCAGTTTACTATCTGCTACCTCTGGATAAAAATCTGACAAGTGTCTGCAGGTCTTATCATTCACTAGACTTACTTAAAGGAAACATCTCAAAATTACAAAACAAGGAAGAGGAAAGGAGGTAGGGCATCTGCAAGCTGGTATCTTTGGGTTCTTTAATGAAGTAAATCTTCTGTTAGGATCTGTCTGGCAGTGCAGCTAAAAATTCTATTTCAATTAGGAGAAAAATGATCCATAATAAAGCTGTTTTTATTGTTTTCTTGATAAGTCAAAACATTCTGTAAAAATGGACCAAGCATTCTAGTCAATTACCTTACAGGAAATTGAGCTAGGCATAGTGAGTTCATAGGCCTCTTTTCCCTTGATATACATTAACCCAAGGAGAGATTCATCACCCTTGTTCTCCAAAACTAGCATCTCCTCCCCCATTTCCTGTCCTTCATAATGACTTCTGTATTCTTACAAGGGTTCGGAAATTCAGTTATTTCAGTCAATAACAGCTTTCCCAATATCTCTATAAAGACAGAGTTTAGGACATTTCTAAGGTGACCAACCATCCTCCTTTAGGGAGGACAGTCCTCCTTTTTTTAAGTTCTGTCCTCCCTCGAAAAGTGTCCTCCTACATGTCCTCCTTTTTGATATTTGAAGACTAATCTGCAGGGCTTTTTTTCCTCATAGAACGCTCAGAACGGCGTTCCGGCACCTTTTTTTGATGGTTTTTTTTCAACTTTTGCATGAGCTGTGCTACTCTCCCTATTGGCTTTCGAAAGTCAATAGGAATTGCTGCTGAGCGCGCCAAAACACCCGGCCGGCAAACTTTGCACATGTACTGTAAGTTGTCTGCAGCGAAGGCGAATTGGCAGGAACTTTGCACCCCTCCCTGCTACCTAACTACACCATCTCCTAGTTAGTCCCAAAGATACCTGGAGGAGACTGGAGCGGCGACGCCACAGTAACTTTCTCTTGATCTTCGGCCCTGCTAGGGCAATAATGGCTGCGGGCACAAGCGGCAGGGGCAGCGGGGCTGCTGCGGGCGAGGGTGTGAGGGGCGGCAGTGGCCGGCTGCCCCCCATGCTGTGGGAGCTGCGGGGCCTGCTCTACACGGGGCTGTGCAGGGTGGGTGGTGGTGCTGGCGGGGTGGCTGCAGGCGGGGTGTGTCGACGGCGGGCTGCCCCCTGGGGCTGGAGCCGGCACAGCTGGTGCTTTGGGAGCCGCGGGGCCTGCTCTACACAGCGGGGCAGCAGTGCTGGCGGGGTGGCTGCGGGCGGGGGCGCGGCATGTAAGCATAATTACAATATAAAATGTTATTGTTACAAATGTTTTTTATTATGCATTTATCATATTATAGTGTATTCTGTATTATTGTTGCAATGAATAAAATGTTTCTTTTATTTACGATATTTTTTTCTTCAATTTATTTGTGTCCTCCTTTTCATTGTAAAAAAGTTGGTCACCTTAACATTTCAGCTGTCCACACAATCTCTTCCAAATATTCTTATAGTTATTTTGTCTATCTCATTTGTCAAGTTTGCTGGAAATTACAGTGGACTCGAGTTTGCTGGAAGTTACAGGGTCTTGAAGTAGCAAAGTAGAAACCTTTGCTAAACCCTTTTGGTACTGAGCACTTGTCAAATCCAGACTCAGCACCCTGAAGTATTTGACGCTCCCCACCTTTGCAACACTCACTCACTTTCTGGATTTTCCTGATCTGGTCAGAGAGTGTGTCTAACAGGCGTGTTTTCAGGAAGTCCGTCACCTTGGCCACTCGGCCATCAAGGTAGTAACTGGAATGAAAATGAGAAGGCAACAGTCAGAGGGGCTGCAACTATGTGCTCTCCCTCACCTTGATCAAGGACCGCTGCTGTCCACATTTACATTTCCCCAAATATTCTCTCTGTTCTGCACAAGGTCAGCTGCTATTGGTGACCTTTGCTTCTTACTTCTGTTCTTTTTCTGTGCCTTTGCCACATGCTTTTCCCTGTGTCCCAAACCCCATTCTAGAAGTTTCTCCATGGTGATATTTTTCAGCAGTCTTCTTAAATCACTCTAATTTTTCCTTCTCTTTACTTTCACCTGCAGTAATTTGTAAGTCCTAGATAATTTTATTCAATTTAATGAAGAAAGAGACCTCAAGCCAGGAACACATTTCTACATAATGTCTAGAACTATGATAAGTATAAACAATAATGAATAATATTAATAATTAATCACAAAATATGGAAGTCACCTCAGTCAACTTTCCAAACAGATAAATTTACTCAGATCTGTAAATAAATTGACAGACCAAGTATAAAAGAGTTCTAAACACCAGAAGCAATTCATTTGTTGGAGAATAAGAGGAGACAGCTATTTTCTTCATGTTCTATTTGTCTTTGTCTTAGATGTCCTACGTTTGGTCACTGCAAGCAATTAAGATGATCTAACCAAAGGTTTAGAAGTCCTGTACTGGTATGCTAATTGACATCATAACAGGTCCTACTAATTAGCCAGTATGATATTCTCAAATAATGATATGCACTGTATTGTGAATACAAAAAAAAAATCACACACAAGAGATAACAACTAGGCTAGATTCACTACAGAAGCAACAGTCTCAAATAAAATAACAATGTCAGCTGAGGATCATAGCTGAAATAACCTTGGGAGGATATTGGTTCTGTTATGTACTTTGGAATCATCTTTCTAAAAGTTACCAACTGATTACAACTTCTATTTTCTTTTCTTTCATGTTACCCTTTGTTCATTATCAATAAATAATTTATTGGATGGTACATATAAGATAGGTAAAAGAGCATTATCCTGTTATAAAGCTGGATCTCAGAGACCTGTGTAAGCTAGAAAGTGCTTACCTTAGTGGAATACATTGATGGATTGTCTGTATCTAATTTAATATGAAGGAGTCAACAGTAAAAATGCAAGATTAATAAATTAAAATGATGAAGTTATATATAGTATATTCAGATGTAAAGCAATACAATATCTGTATTGGTATCTGGATGGGGAGATACAAGCTTAAAAAAATTAATCCTAGAAAAATGAAATGGCTATGTATAAGGAAACCATCCAAAATGTTCTATGGAAATTCAGTAAATAGTTTTGCATCGATTTACTCCATTCCACATTGGTTCATAATCCAGGGCTTCTTTTGATTCTCAGTTCCTGCTTAAAGAGGAAAGGGAAGCTGTGGTAAGAAGGGCCTTTGCGCAACTCCATATTGTACCTTTCTTGGAATGAGACAACCTGGTCATAGTCATTCATGGCTTGGTCATTTTTGGTTGGAGTATTGCAATATATTCAGTATGGGACTACTCTTGAAGAGCACTCAAAAATCAAAGCTGGTCCAGAATGCAGCAGCTTGAATAGTTATGGATCCATCTCAATTTGTCCATGTTTTCTGAGCTGCACTACTTACCACTTTGCTAGTAGGTACAATTAAAAATCCTGGTTGTCACTTTTAAAGCCCTTCATGACTCAGGACCTGGTCATTACTGCCTTCTTCCAATTGGTCTGTCTGATAATATCAGATAGAAAGGGCTCCTTCCAGGCTATTAATGCCTGTTTTTTTCAACAGGGCTTGGGGATAGATATCTTATACATTTTGTTTACTCTTCTAGTTTGGGCTTTTATTTATATAGCTCTTGCCTTGTTCCTTTATGGGGAACTGTTATTTGATATTATGTATATTTTTTATCTTTGTTTATGTAACAGAGTATACAAATTATTTAGACTCTGAAGTAACTGGAGCAGTATACAAGCTGAATTAAATAAAACTTAACCTGGTAGCAATATGGAAACTGATGGGATAAATAGGGTAGAAATTAGACCTACAGTATAATCAATGAATATAGTTCTTATGAGGCTTCAAATTAGGAAATTGTAAATAAAGATATTTAAACTTTGACATAACTCCCAGGGGGCTGTTATCCTTACCAAATTTTCTCTTTAATTAACCTGGAAGAAAAACAAGAAGTTTTTCTGAGAACAATCAGCATGGAAGATTTTCTATTATTTTAAATATAGTACAAATTTATTTTCATTAATGCTAGCCATAAATGCAAGAAAGGCAGGGAAATACTTATTTTATTATTAATGGGTTAGGTTCAGGCTTAGTCAAATTTAGTCAGCTTAGAAAAGATCCAGTCAAATCAATACAATAACTGTGATTTCAAGAATGTAAGCCAATGTCTGAATGCTTCAAAGTTGCTATTTTAATTCTTTTAGTTCTTTTTTATTGAAATATTTTAATTATATTTTATTCCTTCATTTATAAAAGTCATAGAATTACAACACTACTAATAGAGGGATTTTCCTATATTCTCAAAACACATTATATTGCAATCTAGCAATACTTAGCAGAAAGAGCAAGAGACACATAGGTTAAATTAATGTAGCAAGTTAATTAAAAAACCTTGACCTCAAAAAACTTGGTTTCAAGTAAAATTTGAGTGGGCACTTATAGTTCATAATAGATCCAGCTTTTAATATCTATGTTAGCTGTCTCACAGCAGCACATTCTAAATATAGCTATGCATAAATCTAGCATTGGTTTGTCAACCAGATCTATTCTCTTAAACTACAAGGAGATATGCAGCATTGACAAATGAGAGCTCTGGAACATATTATCAGGCACGCCAATATCTAATTGTCAGATAGTAATGGGTGGAGAACCTAATAAGGAACAAACCAGAGTGGGGAGTGGGAGGATGTCATCCAGGATGTAGATAGACCTAATTACAGTAGCTGCTCCACAGACATATTGTCTAGCAACCCAGAAGAGGTAAGAAAATTTATGCTTGATTTCTTGATCAGTCCCTTCCGAATCTATTCTGTTTATCTTCTCTGAAGACTTTAGCAATTAAGCCTATTGTTCTGTATTGCTAAACTAGGTATTATATTACTATTCTCAGTATGCTCAGAGACATACGGCTAAGTCTAACAAGATTTTATTATCCCTGAGATAGAAACTGAAACTTTCCACACAAGTCTTGAGAGAACAGGAGGTAATGAATTCAGTGCTTTTGTACAACTCTCATCCAAGCCAATTGGGCACAAACAACAGTAGATCAGATATGTCTGCCTCTCTTGACAGATATGTTTGCTGCTCTTGACAGTACTCTAAATGTTCTACTTTGCCTTGCCACATAGTACAGATGCCTTTGATACAGAAGCATATTTTAGAATTAGTTAACACACTTTACTCTCCCATTTATTTCTAGTGTACTATTTCTAGTGCATTTAATTAATTAAATATATATAACTACGCATATAAAGACGTGGGGTTTTTGAAATGGAAAATGTGCTGATGTTGGTTTTAGCCAAGGCATATGCATATTGTACCATTTAAGAAAATACATTTGCTTCTGAATACAAGTGAAGTTTGAATGCTTTTCCATTTGAAACAATAACCTGCATTAAAACAATGTTAGTCACATTAGTTTGCTAAAACCAAGCTAACAAGGAAGAGAGAATAAGTTAATCTATATCTGAATACAATTTTTTTTAACAAGAAAGTATATGCTCCACCAGGAGTAGAATGAAGAGTCAGGATTACAATATGAAATTGATAGAAATATGGTCAGGGAATGACTATTTACTCTGAGAGAATTGCATTCCACAACAGTCTGGCCAGGTATTTGTATATTGTTTTTGAAGAGAACTGGAGAACTGAAGTGCTAGACAACTTCGGTGCAAAGGATAAAAAGAAGGATCCAGGGAATTATAGATTGGTCAGTCTAATACTTGGAGAAACTCTAGAACAGATTATAAACACTACCTTGAAAACAATGAGGTAATTACCAGAAATCAGCATAGATTTGTAAAGAATAATTCTCGCAAGATTAATCTTATGTCATGCTTTGACCAAGTAGATTGCAGAGATACTGTAGACCACAGGTGTTAAACTCAATCGCATCACATGACGTATCACAACATTTTTTGCCTTTGCGGAACTGGGGTAGGCATGGCCTGCATGTGACGCATCCGGCCCGCAGGCCGCCAGTTTGACACCACTGCTGTAGACATAAGATATCTAGTTTTCAGCAAAAAAATGGGCAGATTGTTGAGAATGTACTAAGTAATCAGCTAATTAAAAATGTTATGGATAGCATCACAATAAAGTGGCTTGACAATCATTCTCAAACTGTGCTCATCAGTGGTCCCTCATATAATTCAAGATAGATGATGAGGTACCACAAAATTTAGTTCTTAATCCTCTCCTCTTCAATATTTTCATTAATGATGTGTATGAAGAGATAGAAAGAACGTTTATCAAATTTTCAGACATAACAAAATTAGATAGCTAATAGAAGACAAAGATAAAATTCAAAACAAGTTTGGTACCTCAGAAAAATAAGCTAAAAGAAGCAAAATTATAGCTGTATAACAGATGTACAAGTATAGGCTATGGGAAAGCTGCTTGGTAATTCTATTTGAAAAAAGATCTTTGGCATAGTAACCAATTGCAAACTGAATATGAGCCAATGATATGATTGGCTACAAAAAAAGCTATATTAACAAAAGTACAGTTTTCAAATTATGGGAAATAGTACAGATAATCCTCGACTTATGACTACAATTGAGCCCAAAATTTTTGTTCTTAAGTGAGATATTTGTTAAATGAGTTTTGTCCCACTTTACAACCTTTCTTGCCACACTTAAGTGAATCATTGCAGTTAATAAGTTAGTAACACAGTTGTTTAGTGAATCTGGCTTCCCCATTGATTTTGCTAGTCAAAAGGTTGCAAAAGGCGATCACATGACCTTGGGACTCAGCAATGGTCGTAAG